GTCGCTCGTGGAAACATTGCATGTATTTGTAACGTATAATAGCTCACAAGGGAACAAAATCACCAAATCTGGTTAAATACGAGAAATTTTTCAGTGTGACGGTCACTTAATTGCTATGGATAACACATTACCTTGTAACCGTCATGCTATAGCAATGCATCTCGGTTTTAAAATTACAAAAAATTACTACAGCCATGGAGAAAACTCAGTAAAATAAAGACACTGATTTGAAACACCATATGCCTTGAAGTCTGAAAGAGGCAAAGGAAGCAAAGAGAGAATTGCAAATCTTCCAGTCATGAAATAAGCAATCAAATAATTTGGACCCTAATTTGGGCAGCTAGCTACTAGAACTCATGAAGGAAAACCCTAATTCATTCTACTTACAACGAAATAAAAGATACGAAAAATAAAAATCAGAAAAAACGAATTCCTAAACGCTTCATAAAACGATGGATTATAAATACTACATTTCCTGATGCTGCACATTATTGATTTCTAATTGTTCCTACTTAGTTTAACTATGATCACCACCTTCAATTTCTAGGGCTGCAGATTCTTGACACATTCCTCGTTGGCAAACCAGTTCGGTATTATTCTTGCCAGATGAGGATGCAGGTCTCTGTAGGAATTCTTGATCGTCCCTTCAGCAACTCGAGTAGCAACAGAGATATCTGCAACAAAACAAAACTAATGCAGACTTTCCCAAGAGAATAATCAATAGGTCACATAGATTCCTAACCTTTAAGTGACTTTTTCTCATCCGCTAGTTGATTGATGGTATAAATAACGGCAGCTGCCACCGATATAGGGCTCCTCCTGCAGAAGTGAGGACATTAATTCTATGAAGTTGAAGAAAAACCATTTAATGCGGCTAATGCTCCGATTGGGTTGAAAGATTGAAATCCAGGGATTTTGGTTTTGTACATTTTCCGGTGGATTGAAGTATTCACAATACTTCAGTGTCCAAAATTGCATCCGGAGAAGGAAATTCTTCGACTTGGTCTAAGAATATCCGTTACTGCGAAACATCTAAGGACTGTCCTCTTGTCGGAGTTATGACATAGAGTTCAAGCTAAGAAGGTCATGAATTATGCAACAAGATTGTTGTGAACTGGTGGAGGAGTTTCTCTATCGTCTCAAGTATGGATGAGAAAATAATCCAACACAGTGTTAGTGTTTATTTTCTAGTAAACATGGTACTACCAACCTTATAACGAGCTCTTCAGTGTTCTGCACCATTTCTTGGGCAGCCTTGACATCTCGATTCTTCATTCCAAGATTGGAACAGAAGCGTCGCTACAGAGAGAATGCGATAATTATGTTCTCAAGCAAAACACATCTCCAACAAGGAAATAAAATATTGAAACGCAAAGAGACGGAAAATATGAAAAACTCACCAAATAATCTCCAGCATGGATAGTTCCCATTTCCGGACCAAGCTCGGCCTCCAGGTGTTTCCAGATGAACTCTTTTGCCCGTCCAATTTCCTTCTTGGTAGCTCCACTGACTGCAGTGCATATTTCTGGATGGAACAAACAAGTTTAGTAAATCCCGCGCACAAAAAGATAAGCAAACGAATTCAAATCGTTACAAACACAAACACGCTCTTCTCTTCTACCTTTCACAGTACGAGGCTTATTTTCTTGTCTACAGGCAATGTAGAGGCAAGCAGCCACAATTGCATCTTGATTTCGCCCTCGGAGAGGTTTTTGATCTTCTACCTTCTTGTATATTTCATTGGCTCGATCCTGGTGGTCACAATAATACAAACACAAAGATTACCCATCTGAAACAGAAGGCTTTCGTCAAATAAAGATTAATTTCAACTAGAGTTCAAACCCCTAATAAGAAGTTGACACAAGTCTGTGAGATCACATAATAATTCTACATCGCGAAATGATACATAAAAAAACACAGAGAAAAAATTGTAACTTCAATGAATGCTTCAGATACCAAGTTACCAACTAAAAACTAACGACCGAGTACTAACTACATACAAGGAATTGTGCGCAATCGATTTCAAAACAAGGTCCTCGGACATGCACAAAGAGGTGACAGGTCATTAAACCACGAAAATGGTAAAACTTAAACGTAGATACACTCCATCGATTCAAAACGAAAATGAAACTTTCATCATACAAAATTAATGTAATTACATGAAGGAATTAGCTTTACATGTACTGCAATTACTAAAATGCAGGATAGGGCTAAAGGGTTGACAAGGGAAAATTTGACGAAATAGTGGGACAAAAACGATATATTTTCAAAACTTGATGAAATAGCGGGACAAAAAAGAAGCTTTTCCTTCAACTTATATCGAAAATCACCATAAGAGTTGCCACTTTTCATTGTATTTTACACACTTCCAGTTAAAAATAAGACAATTAACAAAAACCAAACACAAAGAAAATGATGCTAAAATATTAACTGATATACCTTTATGGTTGTAACAAGTCCCAACCTGCAGTGAAAACCCAACAAAATGCATCAGATCATGTTCCAATTGACATCCAGAAGCGCAAGTGCTTTCTGAAAGCCAAAAATGATTTTTAGCAATGTTCGCTAGAAAAACTTAAAGAACTTGTCGCTCGTAGAAGCGCTTTCTGACTAAGCACGCTCCATGCTCTGATGTTTTCTTGAGAAAGCAAAGTACTTTTTCACAAAAACTCGGATTAAAAAAAAATTAATAAAAATCAACATGCTTATAATAAAACACTTTTACTAGAAGCACTTTTGAAATTTGAACAATATTTTTTAGAGAAGCAATTATACGTGGATCCACTGTTGATGACATGATAATGATGCAATGCTTTTTGGAAATATGATCGCAATAAAAAAAAGTTTCTTCCTTTTTCCTTTCACTTTCCCAGCAACCAAACAAATACAAATTATGTTAACTAACAACAACAAGTGAAATTAGAGCATGCAAAGCAAGAAAACCAAACCTGTCGGCCATCACGGCAATTGCACCGAAGATGTCGAGAAGATGACGGTCAGGCTTAGACGCGCGTCCCTGCCACTTCCCGACGGAGGATGGCAAGGCTTCAGAGGAGCCGCCGCCGCCGCCGTTTTTGGGCCTGGCAATGACGGTAGAAAGCCCAGCTTCTGACAAAAGCGGGTTAACGGGTCCGCCAACACGGTTCGGGTCGTTGTCGTTAGAGTCGTCGGCGAAGGAGCGCCACTCGGCGGTCTCGTCGACGGAGTGTGCCTCCAGTACGAGGCCGCACTCGGAGCATATCGCGTCGCCCGCTCTGTGGTCGAAGACAACCTCCGTCAGACTGTTACAGTCGCGGCAAAACGTGTCCGACATAACTCTACCAAAATAATGTTATTTTTTTCGAATTTTTTAAGGATTTTTGCTTTGTCGGATCCTCTCAGACCGTTATGATTTTTTTAATTTTTTTTGTTTACACTGAAACTGTAAATCTTGCGAGCGGTAAGGGAGGGTTTTTATAGACGTTTGGAGGGGAGGAGGAGGAGGAGGGGTGATATGGTAATTTTAGATGGATAAGCTTTTATTTAAAATAAATTTGCAACTTTATCCAACCAATTTAATGCTTGGATAGGTCGGTTCAATGAACAAATTAGCTGGAATAACGTGATATGCTGATGTGGTGTTAAGCATTTAATTGAATTATAAAACATCTAATAACCTAATGTACGTGATGTAATTTTTATAGCTTTGTAACACGATATTGGCATGTCAAATCGTGTTTCACGCTAACATGAGTGTTGTTGTTTTACTTTTCAAATACACTTCTCAATATTTGGTTATCGGATCAAATGACTTGGAAATTATTAGATAGAAATTAACAAAAAAATGTGTAAAAATGTAAAAACAAAGTGTGTAGATAGTACTACTATCTTAAAGAGGGAGAAGAAAAATATAATAAAGAAGAGGGAAGAGGGCTGCCACTTGGCGAGATATTTTTCAATATGACTGGTACACTGGGTGGTACATCACGTGTCATTAAACAAATTGTGAGATATGTGTGCTAAAAAGTTAATACCTTAAAAAAAATAATATATCACCATTCATATTAAAACACGTGGTGTACCACTTCTGTTCTCATCACAATTAAAAATTTCTTCCAGTTGGCCGTAATAGTTCAGATTCTTTAGTAAATGTTCATTAATGGTAAGATCATTAAAACTTGTGGCAAAAGTAACGGCATTCCTAGATTTCCATTTATTTCTTCCTTTAGTAAAATGAGGAGAGAATCAAACAAAATATGGACGCGCAAGTGGCCCTCTACTAAGTGACGAGAGCAGGGTTGCCCTTTCATCGCGATTTGAATTTGAGTTCGAATCTCGTTAACTCTCTAAATAAATTTATCATTTGACAAAAAACAAAAAAAAAACAAAATATGGACGCATAAAACCTTACTGTTTCTATATTTGCCATCACTAGTTATACAGGATTATATATCTTGTTTCTCTTCTCAAATGACTAGTCCTCTTCTAAGGCGATTAGTCATGGTTGTACACAAACGGAATTCCCTACATACACTTAGACCTGACATTTTGGACCCGACCCGACCCGATCCGACCCGTTAATATTAGTATTGGGTGGATGCTTAACGGGTTGAGTTGCTAACAGGTGAATCCCTTAACAACCCCGTTAAATAACAGGTCACTTTAGGTCAACCCGTTAGCACCCGTTAGTTGATGATGTTTTAGTAATTTCAGTAAAGTCTTAACAACAAAAAGTAAACTCTATGCAAAATAATAATAATAATAATAATAATTGTTAACAGGATGAAACGGATGACCCAATTGCTTAACGGGTCGGATTCAGGTGACCCGTTAACTTAACGGGTCGGATTGAACCCGACCAAAAGCCAATAAACCCGACCCGTTTATAGGTCTACACACCTCCGGTCGAACTCGAACTCTACCTCGACCTCGACCTCTTCGTCACCATCGTTGGCTTCCTCCCGAGAGCCCGGAACATCGGGTCAAGAAAACAAAGAAACTACGACCAGTAACAACGAAAGAATAAGAATATGGAAACGCAATTCCTATTTATACCGGCAATTTCTGTATGTACAGGGACCAGATCATCTGGTGCTATAACTGCAAAAAAAACTTCCATGTCCTAGATTCTAGAGATGGGGTCATGAAATACCACAAATACTATCTCATGCTGCAGCACTGAGGCCGTCCGAGCCGTTTCAATTTGTCCCACATGCAGATCATCTGTCTCGGAGACTGGTAATGGGCGGTGTAATAGTCTTCGACGCACCCGAATTGGCAGAACTTGAAGCTGTGCACGTACTCGACTGGTTTTGCGCTGTTGAATTTCTCAACCCACATTCCCATGCTCACATCTTCCATCTTAAACAACTGCACAAAGATCAGATTGTTTAGAATCAACCACCCATTACATGAGCATACCGGTGTAGGTGTGTGCGCGTGAAGGGCAGAGAAGGCGCGGATGTTACTTACCCTTAATTTACGACTTTCGAACTCGGATACTACGAAGTTTGCAATGTCAGATGACAAGATGTAACCTGGCCCGTTTGCATAGGGTGGATAGTCTTCTTCTGGCCACTCCTGAAACAAGAAAACAGAGAACAAATGGCTATGAATACTAATATAAAAAACCAAGCATCAGCGGAAAACAATGCAAGAAATTGAACATAGTACAACATCGACAACCTTTAACAAGATTTCAACAAAATAAAGATTCTTACAAGTCAATATCACAGACTATAAATCTGAAATAATTGAAACATGATCAACATTCTTCGACACGTACCAAAAGATATCAGAAACAATAAGTTCTTCATACCTCATATGTCACAGCCCATTTACCATAGCGCAGAGGCTTATGGAAGTAATTTATGTTCCCCACATACAAGCTCTTTCCCTCTGGTACTTTATACGCCTCTTTGATAACGGCATCCACTCTAATAAATGTGTCATCATCGCACTTCATAATGTACTTAGCAGCCATCCTACGAGCCTGAAACAGAAGCAACAGCATTATAAGAAAACTATTTCCAGGAGAATACTTAACAGTATCAAATCTTCATTTATGTGTTTATTCCACAACTCACCCCATATTCGCAGATGGCAACAGTTTTCAATACGACCAAGTCATAGTTATCCATGTAAGGCACTATAACAATATCACCAAAAAACTCTGCTTCTTTCTTCAGCTCAACATTCACTTCCTTTTTAGCATGCTGTCCGAGTATCAACAGAAAAGATTGTAAGTCCCCCACTTAAAAACTGTGCATCAACCAACTACAAATATTCTAGTGTTATTATTGTTATTGCTTACCAATGCTACAAAGAAACGTGCTACCACTTTTGACGATCTGATAAGATTGTGCTGCATCCAAGACTTCCTTACTGCCATCCTCTCGGCAAAATGGTTGCCTGCAGAAAGGATACCAATGAAGAGTTCAACACCTCCATCAGGGAGAGGCGGGGCCTGCCATTTGGTTGACATCTCAAGATGCTTCTCTGGAGCAAAACTAGGATGGGATGAGGGCAAAGAAGCAGCAAATACCGATTGCACATTAACATCCCCACTCAGAGACAGCCCGGTGGCATCCTCAAGAGAAAATCCCTGTCAACATCACAACAAAACTCTTAGCAAAGAATCCTTAATCATCACGAGGTCAAGAGGTAGCAGAATATTACTCACCATATGATAAGGAAAAGAGGTGACATGCCTCCCGTCAACATTAACATGATAACCCTCCAAGCCAGCAGTAAGAGTTAAAACAAACAATTTCTTCTCTGCAAAAGGGTATGGCCAGTCGACAGGCACCTTTTTAGTTCTGCCTACTAACCTGCTCAACCACCATGTTGCCTTGGTCTCCACTGAGCGACTATCGTCATCACGAATCCATTTCTCGCACTTCACCTGACCATCAACTAAAACCAGTCTAAAGAATTACACAACTTGGTGGACCACATTTAGAAGGATGAATGAACTCTGGAAATAATGAGAATCATAACAATCGAAGCAAGATAATGAGCCAACACCAACGCCCAAAACAACGAATTTCTTCCTGAATAGGAAAACGAAAGTCTTATAGTTTTTGTACTTCTGCCACATATTATCAATGAGCAATTAACAACTCAAACACACTTTGAAGTTTGAACATCGACACCGCATTCTGCACATCGAACTGGCACAATACCACAATTTAAAGAAATCCAACTACTGTTTTTATTCCCATTCCAGTACTAGCTTACTTGCAATGCTCCAATTTCAATGAATGTTAAAAGCTCAAAACAGAAACCAATGTACCAAACTAGCATAAACAGAACAATTCATAAGTTTCATATCTAGCATTTCCAGTATATAACTTTATAGGACATGGATAATCACTCACCAGTTTCTTCATCAGCCTTAGATTTCCAGCCCTCGCATCGAAGCGCCGAGCCCCATTGCATCCTGTAACAAGTGTTGAGTTCAATCACAGGCCTTCCACTCCAATCCCCCCTCAACCTTGGATTGAAATGCAAAAGCCTCGGTGGCTCCTCACCCTCCACAGTCTTCAATCCCAGCAACTCCACCTTAAACTGCGATACCATCGACGACTCACCGTCCCTCACCAGGGCAATCTTGGGCTGAAATTCCTGGTGCACCGCCCTCGGCCTCCCCACCAGCGTTATGTGCGAACCCAATGTCAGCCCACACGGCAGCACCATCACCCTCCCCTGTGCTGAAAACTCTGACCCAGATAACGAAATTGAATGCTTGCACGCCTCCGATCGGTTCCCCACCTTTTCAGCATCAATCTGCACCTTCCCAGACATCACCTCCTCCCAGAACTTCCTCCCCACCTCCCAAGCAACCTTCGCCGGCTTATAAAGCTCCGAATCAAAAGTTTTCGGGTCAAATACTAAACCCGAAACGAAATCGAATTCTCTGGGTGGCCGACTCTGAGTCGGCTGGTACGAGTTCAGCGAAACTTGCTCAACAGGGCGACTTGGGGCATCCTTTTCCTCCACGTCTTCCTTGCTATTTAGCCTTTTGGGTCGAGATAATGAGTCCGGCGAGACTGTACTGGTTTTGAACACGAAGGGAATTTCAAACGTGACTAAAAGTAGATACAGAAGTCCGACAGCGATCAGAATCTGAATCAATCTTTTCCTGTTGAGGGAGAAGGAGGTCTCCAATCTGTCCAATTTGGCCCTCCTCATCCCCAATTTGGTAAAAAAAAAACCAAAACCTAGAATTTCCCGGCAAGCAAACCGCTTCCCAATCGCAGAGACGAAACCAAGAAACGAAAATTTGAATTCTGGGTTTTACGAAAAAAAGAAACTTGAATTCTGGGTTTTGCAAAAAATCGAGTCTTCGATTCAAACTTGTAGTCCGCAACTTAAACGCACAGACGCGTCAAGAAATTTAAAAGAAAAAAAAAAGAACTTGAATCCAATCCAGGTCGGTGATGCGAGCTTTTTCCTGGAAGATGAGGGAAATTTGGGTTTAGGATTTTCGTTTTTGTTTGCTCTCGATTTCAAATGGAAATTTGAAAGAAATGAACTTGAAAACGAAGTGGAATTGAAGGAACGAAAATTTGAAGGGACGTTTATTTTGGATTGGAGCGGAAATTATTGAATAAATTGTTATAAGACTTTGTGAGTGGGGTTGGGATCTGGTAATCAAACACTACCCGCCACTTTTCCGGTGCGTGCGAGGCAGGAGACGAGAATTTACTGCAGTTACTATATGGTAACTTTTAGTGTTTTACTGTGAGTAAATTCTATCTTGTTGAGTAATTATCTGCAATTAAATAAGAGTTGGCAAAAACAAATCTATAAGAGTAAACTGTCGATTTGCCCCCTGAACTATCACCCAACTTTTGATTTGCCCCCTGAACTTTTTAATTGGAAAATTAAGGACTTAAACTAATTTTTTTGGCCGATTTGCCCCCTGCTGTTAATTTTTCATTCATTCCATCCAAATTTCTGTTAAATGGAAGCATATGCACAACATGTGTGGGTAGTTCGGTCACTTCATTCTTTAAAATAATTGAAAACCTTAGATTTCTAAAATATAAACCTATGCAAATATGTGTGATTCTATAGCTTTTCTGTCTGAAGGTCTAGTGAAATGACGCTTTTGTCCAAAAATGAGAGTTACGTGGTTTGCACATGATAAGAGTTAACGTTAATTTGGATGAAATTTATGAAAAACTAACGGTAGGGGGGAAATCGGCCAAAAAAATTAGTTTAAGTCCTTAATTTTTCAATTAAAAAGTTCAGGGGGGAAATCGAAAGTTGGGTGATAGTTCAGGGGGCAAATCGACAGTTTACTCAATCTATAATGAAGGGTTGAAAAAAATAACGGAAAGGGATCCAATCCACTAAGGCCTTAAATTCGGGCATTTGAAATTTGATCAAACGGCTAAAGTTATTATAACATTTAAAGTGGACCTCTGTTTTTACCTGTTGGATCAAATTTCAAAGGTCCGGATTTGTGGCATTGGTGGATTAGGTGGAAGGAATCCGGAAATGATCCATTTTCAAAAATCACTGCAGGTTGACTGTGTAGATTATACCTAAAATTAAGAACCGCGCTCCGCTGCTGAAAGAAGAGCAGCTGAAAAATCAATTAAGACACGTGTCTAAATAATTATAATTAGAACTTTGTTCATTTGTGATTAAGTTTCAACAATACTTGTCGCTCTTCTTTTAGCAATGAAACATGGTTCTAAAATCTCAAATCCAACCATAATTATTTTTGCATGCGATTGTTATTGCATGTCCATTCCTATGATCATCGGATGAAGACATGGAAAAATGATCATCAAAAAATACTATTAAATCGTATTAGTAAGTGAGAAAAAAAAAAGCCGTCTACGTACTACTATTTTCCATATTTATTTGTGTATTAGTAAAAAAAATTTAAATACTTGTCATGAAGTAGAATTTTAGTATTGGATTTAGCTTAGTTTTTCTTTCACCCTTCAACTCCTTTAACTCATTCACTCCCATTTTTACGTTTAATTAAATAAAAAGATAATACTAGAGAGACTAAATTTGAAGATAAAGTTTTAAAAACTAAAAGATATAGAAGTTGATTATTGATTTATTACTTAAACGTTGATAAACGTGCTTATTTCTGTTGGTAAAACATCATTTAGTTTACAAATTTAATCTCTAAATTTAATATCTCTAACATTATTCTAAATAAAGTATAAACAACATTCCACGGCCCACAAACATATTTAAAGATAAAAATAATATTATAAGATTATAGTCAGAAAATGAGTGGAAAGAAAACCGTTGAAAACTTTTAAATCACTTTTAAAGAAAACATAATACAAGAGCTGATGGTTAAATTTCTTTTTTAAATTTATAAAGAAGTTCAATTATTAATCATCATATATAATGTTATCTATAAAAGAAGGTCCAAAAATATTTTGCTCATTAACTTATTTAGCATCACAATCAGTAAAAATTTAAATTCATCAAATAATAATAATAAGGATGATGAGAATTAGTTTTCCTAACATTACTATAAAATTAAATTAGATTAATAAAGTGGGAATATTCTGTTGAGTGGTCCGCCTTTGAATTTTGAATATCTCAATATTTGTGGGTGGCAATTGGCAAGCATGGGCATGGCCAGGGGGCCAGGTGTTTCACTTTCAGTGGCTGACCTAAGCTCTCAAAATCAAATAGTGCATGATGTATCTCCAAGGTTTCAAACATTCTTCTATTTAATCTCCATCCTCATAATTAAGTCCAATGACAATTTATAATCCTTATGTAAAATGATTGTGTATTCAAAAATATGAGAAATGTTAAGCAGTCTTTATGAGAAATATTAAGCAGACTCTTTTAAAGTGAGACTCTGTATAGAATTTCTATCACCTTATGTTGACTCGTGAATTAATTAAACTATAAGATGAAAATGAGTTCATGAAAAATGTCACTCTTGAGAGAGTCCCTTTACCATTTCCTTTTAAATATAATTGACCATTTCCTTTTAAATATAATTGAAATTATGGAATCGAGATCTCGAGTTCTAATACTGTTTGTATAAAAACAAAAATATTCGAACTATCAAACCTCCGAACAAAATTGAGATTCTTGGAAATAAAATTATCAAAATGAGAAGCTGCCTCTTTCTTGTAGTATTAGGTTCGATACTCGTTAAATGCAAGTTTGAATCATATTATTGTTAGCCTGGCTAAATCCACCCCTCCCCTTAGTATGTATAATATCGTTTGTTAAAAAAAATTAAAAAAAAAAACTTGTTACTTTTGTATGCTTGGGAAGAATAGTTTATTAACTTTATTCTAATTAACTGCACTAATAAACAAGATTAAAAGAATCTTAATTATACATATTCTTCAGTTCTAAAATCTCGAAACAAGAAGGCATGGTTTCGTATACTAATTTTGTTCTACAATTTCAAAGCTAACATATTAATATTTAAGAATTCGCTGTGTCTGTGTGAGTTTGACCGACGCTAACAAATATGCACAACTCATCATACTATTTTATCTTTTAAAATGTATTCGTAAAATAATTACGAAATTTACTATAATTTTGTTCAGCAAATAATTTTTTGATGACAAACAAAAAAAAAATCACGATCTTAGTTAGTTTTTGTTTGCCAATGAAAACTCATTTGCTGAATAAAATAAAGTAATACTTATGCTTAATCAAAGACATTTGTGCTATACTTTGATCCTGATATGGGCTAGCCTCTTCTCCTTAAACTTTGTTCAACAAAAAAAAAAAAAAAAAAAAAAAAAAAAAAAAAAACATTTGACCTCTAAGGTTTGAAGAATGTAACTACTTATACCCTTTTGGAGTGCAACAACCACCAAAGAGTTTTGTCTAGTAGTCGCCTGCTACCGACAGTATTGACTTTGTATTATCTCTTTTATTTTTAAATAGGTGATGATATTGCACATATTAAACGACGACGTCACTAGAATTCTATCTTTATTAAGGATTACTCAATTTCTATTTTAGTATTGACTTTGTATTATCTCTTTTTTATTTTAATTTTTAAATAGGTGATGATATTACACATATTAAACGACGACGTCACTAAAATTCTATTTTTATTAAGGATTACACAATTTCTATTTTAGTATTGACTTTGTATTATCTCTTTTTTTTTTTAATTTTTAAATAGGTGATGATATTGCATATATTAGACGACGACATCACTAGAATTCTATCTTTATATTATCTCGTTGAATAGAGACAACAAATATTTGTGTGTTATGCAAAGTGCTTTAGACAAGGGTGCTTTTGCAAATGGTAAATCCCATTCCCAACCTTTGTGAAAGGAACGAGCAAGTCCCTATAACGGAGTATGACAAACGCTGGACTTTGCACACCTCCCCTTTTCATGTGTAAAGGTTTTTGGATTTAATTGAAGAGAGTGATGTCGAATGATTTGACTTGAGAAAAAGAGACACCTTAAGTATCAATAAAGATTTGTAGAGTTGCCAAACTGGAAAAGATCCTTAAACTAATTCAATTTAAAACTTGAAATTGAAGCACTCCTCCAATATATAAAAATGTGCTTAAATATGGCCAAATATAAAAGCACAAAACGTCTCGTTTACCTTTCAAAAGTCATACCTCTCACACAAAGACAAGAGATGAGGTCAAGTATTTCCATCCCACAGGTCCATTATCACCAGTCTCTTTGAGAACTTGTAAAAGGATCTTAGCTCTTTTTTTGTTTCTACAAATCGTCCATCAAGAGAATTGTCAGCTACGAGACTCAAACCTTGGTTGAAGAGAACAATATTTTTCGTTGGCGAATTTTTTTCTTTCTTTCTGTTAAGAAGAGATTTATTTATTACAATTTTGACAAAGTTAAAAAATTCATGTTATCCTTCTCATCTTCTCTTCTTGTATCCTTCATCAAGAAAACTTTGCACTGTTTTTATGATATTCAAAGATCACCAATATTTTTTACGAGTTAAATATTTAATTGTGATTAGGGTATCGTGATTTCATATATTTGTTGTTGGGGTCGTAAAAATATCATGGTAGATTTTCTATCTTTTGTCCAAAACAAATCACCAATCTTTTACCATTATAATCCAACGTACGATAAATCGACACCACTAAAACTATAAATTTGACCATGCCTGGATTATTATTTACCTTTATAATCAAATATTGTTGACCAATAATATTTGAGCAATGTTAGGGAAATCAAAATTTTTAAACCAAATTGCAAACTAAACGATGTATCACCAATAAGAAATAAGCATGTTAATCGATACTTAATTAATAATTCAATTATCTACAACCACATCATTTAGTTTGCAAATTTGGTTTAAAAAATTTGGTCTACTTAGCATTACTCATAAGATATTTGACTGGAACATTTACGTAGGAATGACAATGAGTTTTGAACCTTTTTCTTTTTTTTTTTAAATTATTATATAAAGGGAAAGAGAAGAGTTTATACTATTATAATAATTTAGAGAATGAATAAGTTCCGAACAAACATCCTATCCGTTAAAATATTGAACCACATGCGAATTTTGACGTATATTAGTAGGAGTTTGAACTTTGAATAGGTTTTAAGTGCAGGAAATAAATATATAAACAAGGAAAGAAAGTGC